ATTTTTCAACACACTTGAGGCTGCTTCATCTCAACCCAAAAAGGACACTCCTGCTTGGTCGTCACAGGATTCCAACTTCCAACTTCACGCCATGCTTTAAATTCATGGTACTTATCTTTTTATTTATTTATTTGAAATCTTTTACTTTGTTAAGATAAGAAAGAGTTATTAGGAAGTTAAAATGAGACATAATACTATACTATATGAATATAATAAGAAATTTTGATTGTGGGAAACTTTTGGGACAGTCTATGAGAAGAGAAAAATTGAAACAAATGATGTGCCATTTGATAGCTTTAGATTTATGGATACAACATGTCTCAGTATCTTTTGGTTGCCATTAACTTCTTTTCTTGTGGTGTCTTCTACCTGCAACAATTTTTTTTTTTGGGTTAGATACCTGTAACAATTTATATATGAACCTTGCGATCAAACGAAGGAAGGACATCAAGGTTCTTTTCCAAGACCAAACACACGTGCACATTGATGATGCATAACTAAATTTAAGATAGGATCAGATGTTGATAATATTGTGGTCAGAGTTGAAAACTTAAAATCCTCAAGATATAGCTGGAAAAAAAAAAGGTAAGGTCTTCTGAAACATAAAATTATTTTTTTAAAAAAAAAAGATGATACACACTGACACTTTTAATAATCTACTGTTTTCTCAATGATTGTTTTGATTCTGGCAATTGGAGTTATTAAGTAAAACTTTCCTTGGTGATTACATGGTTATTTGGGATCATAAATGACTTCAATTGTCTGGAGCCCTTCCTGATTGCTGAAAATATTTTGAATGCTTGATCTTCTTCAGTGTCACAAATAATAGATTCTTCGGAGAGATTCCTGATTCACTGGGTACCCTGAGATAAATTCGAGAATTTCATTATGCAAACAACAAACTTGCAGGTGAAATAGCATCCACTTTGAAAAACTGCACTTTGCTTTAAACATTTGATGCTGCCGAAAACAATTTCTCTGGATTATTTCCAAGTTGGATTGGAGATGCACTGAGATTGTTGCATGTACTTATTCTAAGGTCCACTATGTTTGCTGGGAGCTTGCCCTTCAATATTTTCCATCTTTCTCAAGTTCAAATTCTTGATCTCTCCATGAACAACATCTCAGGAAGTATACCCAAATGCCTTAGCAATCTTTCTGCTTTGGCTAATAAAACAAACTATGATGTAGATATAAGTTATTCGGTTTTAGATAATGAACTCTGTGGTCTTAAAGGAGTAGTGATAGTGTTTGTGTTTTTAGTCAATTATTTACTTGAAGATAGCGTATCACTGGTGTGGAAAGGTGAAGAAGCTGCATATCAAACTATCTTGGGACTAGTGAAGAGTATTGATCTCTCCAGCAACACGTTAACTGCAAAAATTCTAAGCGAAATGATGGATCTCATTAGATTGGTTTCCTTAAACTTGTCAAGAAACAAGATTAATGGAAAAATCCCTCCAAGCATTGGATAGTGTTAGAATACAGTTCAGAGTTTGTTATACTTTAGTTGTAAGTCTGGTCATATAGTCAAACCAACTTGCTTACATGTCATCTTGAGTCTGTAAGTTTCAGCTCTATATAAGAGCACCGTTTGTACCTCTAGACGTAAGATTAAAATAAGAACCAGATTGCAATTTTCTACACATTTTATATTCTGTTTTTTGGCTTGGTATCAGAACCACCGTCATTGGTACTCGTATTGCCACAAAGTCATAATCATTCTCATCATTATTGAGTGATCTCCAAGTCCTGGATTGATCGCACAACAAAATGATGGTTGGTTCTAATACAGAAATGGCCCATCTTACTTTCTTGGCATCATTGATTTTGAGCTTCATTAATAAGAAGAGCACCGTGAAGCTTGATGAGTCCAATTATTTGTTATGGAAGCAGCAAGTCGCGTTTATGGTTAAGCAACATCGACTACGCGACTATCTCACCGGTGCCGTTTGTGTTCCACCACTGACTGTTAAGGATAATTCTGGATCTAAAGTTGCCAATCCAGAATACGATACTTACGCAGCTCTTGATTCAGCTCTGGCGTCCTGGCTTCTTTCATCAGTTAGTTCATCCATACTAGCAGAGCTAGTTGGTCTTGAGATGTCGTCACAAATCTGGTCAAAACTCAATCGTCTTTATTCAAATAAATCAGCCTCTAAAATTCTTTATTATAAGAATTTACTGTCAAATCAAAAGAAAGGAGAGGTGCTTATGTGTGATTACCTATCTATAGTCAAATCCACATACGATCATTTAGCTATGCTTGGTGAGTCGGTTCCTGAAGCATCTCAGATTTCACACATTCTTAATGGTCTCTCTGCTGAGTTCGAACCAATGATTGCTGTGATCAATACTTCACCAAGTCGTTTTGACTTGGACACTTTCATACCATGCTCTTAAACTCTAAGGTGAGACAAAAGGCATTCTTAAAGAACACAATTGCTCACGCAAATTATGCTACTCATCTACCTTGGGAGTATTATGCTAATGACAACCCGCAAGTGTATCAGTCTCAAGCACCATACACATCACAGAACAATGGCGGCCGAGGACCTCCATGTCCTCCTTTCAATCCGGTGGCTGGCCGAGGTTGTGGCAGGGGACGTGGTTTCCCTCAGTTTCAAGTGTTGTGCCAGATTTGCCATCGCACTGGGCATATGGCTGATCATTGCTACTATAGGTATGATTTTTCCTGGTCTACTTCTTATGGCAACACTCAAAATGCATATTATGCTAACTATGGATATTATGGATATGATGCTACTCTCTATCCTACGGTTCCTAATTATCTGGTGGTGCCACTTCTATTATGCCAAATAACACCTCTGCACCTCTGACTGCCACTCAGTCATCTGCTAAATCTACTCCCCCTACTAAACCTCAAGCTTTTATTGCTACACCAGCTCTTGTTTTAGATGATGGCTAGTATGTTGATTCGGGTGCCACACAACATGTTGCTAATACACCTTCCTATCTAGAACAACCTACTTCAGGTAGAAATGGTAAGGTTATGGTAGGAAATGGCACAGGATTAGATATTACTCATATTGGTAATATCAAACTTTCATCTCCACAATCTTAAACAAATATGAATAATGTATTATGTGTTCTTGCAATGCGTAAGAACTTGTTATCTATAGCTTAGACTGCTTAAGAAAATGGCGTTTCAATTGAATTTTTCCCCCATGCTTGTTTGTGAAGGATTTGAGGATAAGAAGGATATTCATGGATGGTATTGAAACCAACCGTATGTACAGCTTGGGAGCAACACATGTATCTTCTCAATCACATACTTTAGCTCACCATGCTCCAGCTTGTTATCATGTATCTACTTCAAATACTCTTAGTTTGTGGCACCAGAGGCTTGGCCATCCTGCATTTGATATTGTTAAGTCTATCTTATGTAATGCTGTAATTTCATTTTGTAATTTTGTTGTATTACCTCTTTGTAAGGCATGCCAATTTGGAAAAGCTCATAAGCTTCCTTTTTCTCCTTCCAATATACAATAGGCCTTTGCAGTTAATATCAATAGACTTGTAGGGACCTGCCCTGTTCCTTCCCATGGTTACTCATATTATATAGCATTTGTGGATGCTTTTAGTAGATTTACATGGGTTTACCCTTTATACAAAAAACCTGATGCATTGCAGAAATTTAAAGACTTTAAAACCTTGGTTGAAAATTATCTTAGTGCAAAAATCAAGGTTATCCAGTCAGACAATGGGGGAGAGTTTTTAAGTTTCAAGAAATTTGTTACAGAATGTGGGATTGAACAGAGATTTATGTGTCCATATACCTCTAAGCAGAATGGACAAGTTGAACGTTGCCATCGCTTGATTGTTGAAACTTGCCTATCGTTTCTAGCTCATGCTGCATTGCCACTATTTTATTGGAGTGATACATTTTGCACTACAGTATTTTTACTGAATAGACTTCCCTCTATTGCACTAAAAGGACTTACACCCTTTGAGAAGCTTTATGGTGTTAAACCAGACTACTCTATTCTCAAGGTATTTGGTTGTGAATGCTTTCCACTTATTCGCCCTTACAATAAGCACAAACTTAAATTCAGATCAGCACAATGTATATTTTTGGGATACAGTTCACAGCACAAAGGGTATAATTGCCTTGATATTTAGACTGGTCGCATCTTTGTCTCACGACACATGAAGTTCAACGAATTGGTGTTTCCTAAAATCTCTCAAGCCAATGTCAGACAACTTGCTCAGAGTAATAGAGTAGACGCAAGTTTTTCCTCTTTCTGCCCTATCACTTCTCCCTCTAAAATCTCTATAACTTCTATATCTTCTCCTTCTATCTCACCTTCCCACATAGCTTCTACCAACTCAAACACTACATCTTTCTCTCCCTGTAATTCACCTTCACCTATGCCTACTTTACCTACCACTTCATTTGACCCATCATCATCCTCACCTTGCAACCCCGAAAATCCCATACCTGCTGTAGCTATAGACTAACCTCATCCACCTCCCCTTGATTATCTACCCAATAACACCCATTCTATGATTACTAGAGGGAAAGCTGGAGTTTTTAAACCAAAAGTATTCTTGGCTATTACAGATAATTTTGTTCCAACTACTATTGAGGAGGCTTTTACTTTTCCTCATTGGAAACAAGCAACTGAAGATGAATACAATGCTCTGTTAACATTTCAAACTTGGGAGGTTTTACCTTTGCCTCCTGGACAAAGAGCTATTGGATGCAAGTGGTTGTTTAAAACCAAATTAAATGCTGATGGTACACCAGCTAGATATGAGGGTAGACTAGTAGCAAAAGGATATGTTCAATAGGCAAGAACTAATTATACAGATATTTTCAGCCTTGTAGTAAAAGCTATCATTGTGCACATTGTCCTTACTGTTGCTGTCACAAATGGGTGGAAATTGCATCAAGTTGATTTTAACAATGCTTTTTTGAATGGTGATTCAAAAGAGGAAGTGTATATGGAGTAGCCACCTGGTTTTGTCAAGCCAAACTCTAATGAGTGTATCCTTGTCTGCAAATTAAATAAGGCTATTTATGGCCTTAAACAAGCACCACGTGCTTGGTTTACAAAACTTGCACAAGCACTAAGTTCACTTGGTTTTTGCGCATCTAAGGCTGATTCTTATCTCTTTATTCATAAAGAGGGTTCAAATATAACCTATCTTTTGGCCTATGTTGATGATCTCATGATTACTGGCAGTTGTGAAGTTACTGTTCAGAAGCTTATTAACAATATGAGTGCTATGTTTTCTCTAAAGGACCTAGGAGAACTTTCATTTTTCCTTGGTATTGAGTTACTAAAACTCCCTCAGGATTACTACTCACTCAACGGAAATACATTGAGCAACTTTTGCAGAAGACTAATTTACTCCTCACTACTCCTTATGCAACACCTATGGTTGCAAATGTTCATCTACGTGTTGGTGATAGTAAAATTTTTTCCAATTCTTCTTTATATCATAGTGTTCTAAGCACACTGTAATATATGTGTTACACTCATCCTGATATAGCCTTTACAGTTAATAAACTTAGTCAATTCATGCATGAGCCTACTGCAAAGCAATGGAATTACATTGAAAGGTTGTTGTGTTATCTCAAGGGTACTAGCACATATGGTCTTCTTATTAAACCAACACTTCATTTCTGTGTTCAAACTTTTGCTGACGCAGATCATGGGGGAATTCATTTTGATTGATGATCAACTAGTGGGTTCTGTACTTGGGCCAGATCCCATCACATGGACCTCACACAAGTAGCAAGTTGGTGCTTGATCAGCTACAGAAGCAGAATACTGAAGCGTTGCTGATGCAGTAGCTGATGTGATATGGATTATGGCACTGTTGAAGGAGATGAAGATCACAGTTGTTGACCCACCTCCTATTTGGTGTGACAATTCAAGAGCTGTTGCATTGTCAGCTAACCCTGTATTGCACAAGTCAAAGCATTTTGAGTTGGACCTTCATTTCATCAGGGAAAAAGTGGCTTCTGGCTCAGTACAAGTGGGCTATGTTCCTTCTTTCGATCAAGTTGCTGATGCTTTGACCAAAATGCAATCAATTGCTCTATTTTTCTACTACAGGGGCAAACTCAATGCTGACTACCTAGAGGATTCTTGTCTTTTTCCTGATGATGAGGATAATCATGAGTGTTAAATACTTTCCTTTTATCCTAAGCAGGGGGAATGTTAGAATATAGTTCAGAGTTTGTTATAGTTTAGTTGCAAGTCTGGTCAAATAGTCAAACCAACTTGCTTACGTGTCATCTTGAGTCTCTCAGTTTAAGCTCTATATAAGAGCACCGTTTATACCTCTGGACGTAAGATTAAAATAAGAACTAGATTGTAATTTTCTACACATTTTATATTCTATTTTTTGGCTGATAGTTGGAATCATTGGACTCACTTGATCTATCAAGAGATCTTTTGGAAGAATTCCATCTGAATTTGCACATGTAGATCGCCCTAGTGTAATGGACTCACCATTTAGTAAACTATCTAGAGAAATTCCACACGGAACTCAACTTCAAAGCTTTGATGCGTCTGCTTATGCGGTAAATCTTGATCTCTATGGACTTCCCCTCCTTAGATGTCCAACTAACCGAGCTAGAGATGATCATGAAAATGATGGATGTGATCTTGAAGACGATGGTCAATTTTTCAGCCAATTAGTGCTCTATATTAGCTTGGCAATGGGGTTTATATCTGGATTTTGGGCAGTTTGCTGCTCGTTGGTTTTGAAGAAATCATGGAGGCATGCCTACTTCAAGTTCTGGAGTGAGGCTTATGAAAAATTGTACGTGATTGTAGTCATAAACACGGCTAAATTGCGTAGATGGATTGGATCAGCTCCAACGTAAAGGGAATCAACATTTGTCTCTATCTTTCGAAAATAAACTGATGTTTGCATTTATAAATTTGTTGCCCAACTACTCACAGCATGCATCTTCTGAGATTCTTGTGAAAACTTTTAGAATATATATTATCCTCAAGTAATTAAGCGAATGTGTTTATTTATTCATTTGTTTCATATCTTAAACTCTGTTAATTAGCTAATGACAAAGTTGAGCAACCTTTAATTTGTTATTTAAATATCGTAGTTTGTTGCAAGGAATGAAGAGGACCTGCTGCCCATCGCTGCCTGATATGCTTCTTTCAACCTCATCATGAAATCAGATTACACATAAATGCCATTTCCTGTTGTCCTTTTGGCTTTACTTGGATACTATATGGGAAAAGAGAAGGTATACATGTTTGATTTATTATAAGAAAACGATTGATAGGGGAGAGGCTTTTCATTTAATAATTGTAACAGTTCTATATTGTGATTTGTTAGACCAAGCTAGCTTCTGTGATAATGATCATATTGTTCATCAGTTGGGTTCTGTCTTTTTTTCGGGTCAGACTCTAGCTTAATAGAAATCATCCACTCATTCATAAGCCTTATCGAGCCATCTTTAACTCTGATTCTCTGGCCTCTCTTTATATGTCAAAAAAAAATTAATTAATTAATTAAATTTACGTTGGCCAAATTGCAAGGAAAATAATTTTCTTCAGTGAATTTATAATATGAAAATTACAATTAAGCGTGTAATTCTGGTTTTTTGTTTTTTTTGCGCCAAGTAATTCTGTATAGTTGACAGACCGTTTTTCACTTTCAAAACTCTGATCATTGGAGAAATCTTTTTTCCAAAAAAAGAAATGATGGCCCAAAAAAGGCCCAAGACTTCAAGAAGACTCGGTATGTTAGGCAAACCGAGAACGAACGCCGCCATGGAAATATACTCAAAAGTATAATCAAAAGGTCCAGTCTCCTTTTCAAAAACATCTTGAAGAAACTGGTGTGCCATGATTCTCCCTTTTTTTTTTTTTAAATGAGAGTATACGTATCTGAGCTGTATCAACATAACCAAAGATTTCCATCAAGTTGGAGTCCTGTGAATGCAACAATATTAAATATTTGGTGGTAGAGTTTTGCTGCCTTCTCTAACCATGATCAACTTAATTTAGATAATAAATCTTTCGATTAAAGAGAACCTGTATTACTCCTCCAACTCTTAATATAGAACCTAATTATTGAGTTAGTTTTGGTTCTAAATATAAGACCCATTTCTCATATTTTTCAAGTTTCTCTAAATTACCCTTATGGATACTCCTTTAACCCTAACTAAGTAAAAGAGGAAGAGGGGTATTAAGAAAGTTGATTATGCTATTTTAGAAAAAACATGTCACATTTCTTATAATTAACTAACTTACCTAACTTACCTAACTTCTTTAATCTAATCAAATTAGTTAAATAAGTCTTATATTAAAGATTGGAGGAGTATAAACTTTCAATAGCTAATTTACATATAACAAATAATTAGTTAAAAATAATAAATAAATAAAAGATATATTTTTGTTTCTTAATATGTTCTTATAATTTTTGGCCAAAAAAATGTTCTTATAATAAATAAGAAAATGATAAAAAATAATGCATGGGAAAATATGATTGAAAAAAGAGAATGTAACAAATGAGAGAAAATAAATAATTGTGCAACTCTACTATCTTTTCGCTAAATTGTGCTTGCCAACAAAAGAAATCCTCTTAGCCTGTGTCCATCTGATACCAACTATTTTAATTTTCTAATTACATGTAAAAAAAAGTAATGGGACTAAGTACCCGATAAAGAAAAAACAATTTTTTAAAAAAATTTAATATTTATTTAAAAAATAGAATTATAATATCTGTTTAAGTTCAAAGTTACAAAAATTTAGCCTAGCTAATTCTTCCATAATGAAACGTAAAAATGGACCACTGCCCTTTCTATTCCTATATCGATATATTAAAATAGGATTTTAAATTTACTGTAAAATAACATGTAGATTGGAAAATGTCGTCTCCACTCATATTTCCAAGTCTGTATTATTATTCTTTCACTTTTGGAATGAAGTGTCACTGTCATGACAGATACAAACATCGTGAAAGAAAAGGAATCATGAAGCCTTTCTCACGGTATGACAATGTCAAAAGAGAAAATTACTTTAATCCTCCTAAGAAGAGTATTTTGCAATTTATACATAATGATGATTTTAAAATTTCATTTTATTAACAATAAAAATCAGCCATCACACAAGTATTTCATAATAAGTCATCCATCCTAAAATTATACTACACCGTCCCTTATTATAAGATCCTTTTAACTAAATTGTGAAATTTAAGAAAACAGTTAAAATTAGTTAAAAATAATTAATATGTAGCAAATGTAATTTTTTTCAAATATATCCCTACATATAAATGGGTAAACGTGAGAGAGTAATAGTGAGATAAATGAAGAAAGAGAATATATTAAATGCATTAAATTATGAATAAAATAGGTAATAATAAATTAAATGTTCAGACAAACTCAAAAAGTATATTATAAAAAAAAAGACAAACCTATTCAAAAAATTGGATCTTATAATAAAAGATAGAGGAAGCATATATTTAAACTATACATCTAATTTTGCATATGTTTTCTTTGATCTCTCCCAAAGTTAGCTTTTAACTCTTATAATAAGAACATATGGAACCAAAATTGTTATAATATCATTAATGAAGTCAATTGTGGAAATTTCTTAAGAAAAAGTCTCTCACACCGTCTAATATGTGTGGATAGTCCAGGGATAAGAGGGAAATACAAATCAATTCTCATGTTGCCCACCAATTCAAATACTTTGTTCTTCATCACTCATTGAGTTCGAGCATAACAATTAGGCAGTGTTATATCTAACATTATATTGCATTTTTATTTTATCAATATTATTATATATATAATATAGATTTTATAATGAGTTACATGATCTATAAACTAATTTCTCTCTATAGGAGCTAAATAATTAATTTACAAATATTAAAATTAAAAAAAATTATATAAGTAGTTATTTGTGATAAATGTGTGTTAAATTTTTTTTATCTTTTAATATATCCTTTTGATTGTTACTTCATTACTAGTAACCTCCTTTCATTTTATAGAGCAATTAACAAGGATATGTTAAAAAAAATTTAAAAAAAATAGATTGGGATTTTATATTTAATAAATTTTACATTAAAAATTAGATGAAGTAATACATTTCACAACAAATTTCAAATTTTCCCTATATAATGTGTTATGAATTGATGCAAATCTTTACATTAGCAAGTAAATTGTTTTTCGTCCACCGGAAAGTCATGCGATAATGATTTTTAACTACTCGATGATAGAGTTTTGTCACATTTTGTAGCTATGCCGGGCTCAATCCAAATTAACTTGGAACGCATGGAAACAAATAAATATGATCATGGGTGAAATCCTAAACAATTTATGAAAAAAAAGAATTTACCTATACATATTTATAGACTCGCACTACTTTTTTTTTATACATTATTAGAATTTAATCCTTTTTCGTCAGATATTAGAATTGGAATTTAATCTAAACGTAAAGTTTAGTTCGAAACTCAAGTTTACAAATCAAATTTTGAGCGCTTCTTTCATTTTAGAAGTTTTTGAAGCCTCTCTCATGACCTTGACTAATTTAATTTGCTATTACATGTAAAAAAATAATGTTACTGCCAGAAAAAGAAAACACACAACAAATTTTGAAAAACTAATGTTTCTAAAAAATATAGCTATAATATCTGTTGAAGTTTAAATTTTTAACAATTTAAAGTCTTTAGCTTTGCTATTTTTAAAAATGAAACATAAAAATGGATCACTGCACTCTCCAATATCAATATATATAGGATTTTAAATTCATTGTCTTGCACATTGGAAGTCTTGTGTCCGCCAATATTTCAAAGTCATATATTCTTTGGCAAAAAAATAAAAGTTTATATATTCCTATTCTTTCAATTTTGGAATGAAGTGTCGCTCTCACGGTGGATACAAACAGTATGGAAGAAAATGAAACGGCTTGGAAATTTTCTATGCAATAATACAAAGGGCAAGTTTGGAATAGCAATAAAAAAAGACTTATAAATGCGTATCACGTAAGTCGAGACAAGACTCAAAGTCCTTAATCATGAAGCCTTTCACACGTATAGTATATATTTAATTTCACAATTTATATATATTGATGATGATTTTAACTTTTACTAATTTTCTTTGTAGAATTTTAAAAATAAGCCATTACAAGTATTTCATAATTAATATTATCATTCATATATACATCCAAAAATTACATTTATAGCATATACTTAATTTGTGTATGTCTTCGTTGATTTCCCCCAAAATTATATTTTAACTCTTATTTTTCTCTTTTTGTCGTAAATAAGAGCATATGCAATCAAAACTGTCATATTAATAAATAAAGCCAATTGTGGAAATTTCAAACTTACGAAGAAAAGTCAATGGAAGTCTGTCACACGGTTTAATATTAGACACTCTGTGGACAAGAGGGAAAGACAAGTCAATTATCGTGGTGGCCAGCAAATACTTTGCCTCTGTTTTTCGCCGCTATTAAGTTAAAATGATATATATGATGTAGTAAACGATTTCAAATCATGAAGACAACAAAATCTTGCCTATAAATACATGGCCTTTGTGGTGCTTGTTCTCCTACGTACACATTTGCATGCAAACTACATAACCTTGTATCCACAGCATAAGGATGGTAGATATAAGGTTTCTTGTTGCTTGCCTTGTGCTTTTGGTGCATTATTCTTGCGGGGCACTTGCAGTTGGCAACACTACTGTCAAGTGCAGAGTCAAGGAACGACTCACTCTTCTTTATCTCAAACGTGGCTTTGTTGATCCCGATGGCTACCTCTCTTCTTGGGGAAGTTCAGAGAACCACACAGATTGTTGTGAATGGCATGGTGTTTCCTGTGACAGCCGAACGAGCCATGTGGATGCACTTCATCTTCATGCCCGCAATTTGGAAGGTACAATTTCTTCGTCATTGGCTGAATTGCATCATTTGAATCATTTGGACCTTAGCGGCAATAATTTAAACCCTCCAACTAAATTCCTAGACTCCATTCTTTCTTTGAAGAGATTGCAATTTCTCGATCTCAGCCTCACAAATTTGAAAGGAAACATACCTCTCAATTTGGGATATTTGTCTCGCTTGCAACAACTTTACCTTTCGGTAAACCAACTTGAAGGTGGCATACCTAAATCCTTGGCTTTATGCAACTTAACAGTGGTGGATCTGTCTAACAATGCCTTGAGTGGACAATTAGATGACTTCGTTGCATCATTTGACCATTGTGCCAACATATCACTACAGACCTTAATTTTATCTTGTAATCGGTTTACGGGGTCAGTACCTAATTTCTCACGGTTCTCATTTTTGGAAACATTAGATCTCTCCAACAATCAACTCAACGGAACTATAAATGATGGCATTGGATTATTGTAAAAGCTATGGAGTTTAGACATTACTACTAATTTCTTGCACGGTGTCATAACTGAAACTCATTTCTCAAGACTCTCTCGACTAGAATACTTAGACTTGTCTCTTAACAACTTGGAATTTAAAATCAGTCCTGATTGGATCCCCCCTTTTCAGTTAGCCAACCTTAATTTAAGATCATGTAAGTTGGGCCCTGGCTTCCCATTGGCTTCGAAACCATAAGTCACGTTTGTCATTAGATATGTCAAATGCTGAAATTTCTAGTATGTTGCCAAGTTGGTTTTGGGATTTGTCATTTGAATCCGTGGACCTTTCACACAACCAAATGACTAGAGAAATACGAGATTTTCAACTCGGAAATGCTTTTTCTCCTGTGAATCTGGATTTGAGCTCAAATTTGTTCGAAGGCTCAATTCCATCAAATTTATCACATACAGCCTTGGCACTGTTTCTATCTAATAATAAATTCACAGATGCTAGTACTTTCTTATGTCCGAACAAGACTGTGGAATTAGTGATCTTAGATCTCTCAAACAATCAACTATCAGGAGTGCTTCCAGATTGTTGGAAATATTTTAAATCATTAAGCCTTTTTGATGTTGAAAACAATAGCCTATACGGAAAAATTCCAACATCAATGGGTTCATTGATAAATATATATTCCTTACGTTTAGGATTCAATAAATTTTCGGGTGAAATACCTTTGTCTTTGAATAAATGCACGGAGCTAGTGGTTTTTGATGCTGTTGGAAATGATTTTTCGGGATTAGTACCACGCTGGATTGGAGATGGGCTTAAGAAGCTAAGCATCCTCCTTTTGAGATCCAACATGTTTTTTGGGAGCTTGCCACTCAATATTTGTAATCTCCCTCGACTTCAGATCCTCGATCTTTCAATGAACAATATTTCCGGAAGTTTGCCAAAATGCCTTAACCATCTTTCTACTTTGAAGAATCAAACAGATTTTGCTGAAACAATATCTTATGGTTATTCTATGTATACACATAGTCATGGTCTTGATGGGTCCTCCTCAAAAGAGGACATTGCAACACTGGTATGGAAAGGTAAGATGTCCAAATACCAAAGTATATTGAGATTAGTTAAAAGCATCGACCTCTCTTGCAACATGTTGATGGGAGAAATTCCAAGTGAATTGATGGATCTTGTTGAATTGGTTGCCTTAAACATTTCAAGAAACATGCTCAGTGGACAAATCCCTGCCACCATTGGACAACTGAAGTCATTGGACTTTCTTGATTTGTCAAGGAACCACTTATCCGGACACATTCCTTCAGAACTTTCACAAGTGGATCGTCTTGGTGTGATGGATTTATCACACAACAATTTGTCCGGAGAAATTCCTCATGGCACTCAACTTCAAAGCTTTGATCCCTCTGCTTATGAGGGAAATGCTCATCTATGTGGTGCTCCCCTTCCAAAATGTCCCACAAGCCCAACACAAGATCATCCAAATGATGAGAATTCTAAAGAAGATGAACAAATTTTCGGTCGAGGTTTCTTTATAAGCTCGTCCATCGGATTTGGAACAGGATTTTGGGGAATTTGCAGCTTAATATTTCTTAACAAATCCTTCAGATATGCCTATTTTAGGTTAATGAGTGGCATACATGACAAAGTGTACGTGATCGTTGCTATAAATGTGGCCAGACTGCGCAGGTGGAGGAGAGGTTCAACTTGAAGGTACGTAATTAGTATTTGTTTTCCATTTCTCTTGTGTTCATATATCATTTTGTATTTTTTCCTGCAGGGAAACTAACAATTTCGTTATAACATATTTTAAATAGAGTCTTTGGGAGAGACATGGGTGTTTTTATTTACGGGAAAAAACTCTGAAAACTAAAGTTTTTTTTTCAGTTTAGAGAAGAAACAGAAAACTAATGTTTTTAGCCTCTTAAAAATAGGTAAATGCAGTGTATATATTTTCAAAGTATATTTTGAAGATTCTTCGGATCAATAAATAAGTGCTATATTTTTCTTATACCACAAGGGAAACCGATCGATAATGTTAAGGGCTTTCTTGCAAAGAACTATTCAAGAAATAGGGATTTATATATACTGAAAGTTAAATGTATATACTTTCTGCCTTTTTGGAACTATGTGTTGCGTTAGTTCACTATTTTTCTGCACTTGGACTTTGTTGACTAACAAATTACTTCTACTTTTGATCTATCTATATTGCAGTCCTTTACATGGGGTAGCTAGCTGCTTCACAAGGTTGCCCCGTAAGGTTCTTCCACGTCACCCGATGAATACTAAACTATTAAGGCATTTGTTTTATCCATCTGCTGTGCAAGTAAACGAGCTAGTGTTTGCGATAATTGTTCATGCCTTTTATGTTCAACTAGTTTAGTTTCCAAAATAAATAAATAATTGGACTGTAAAATCAGACACTGGTTCTTCGGAGTCAATATATCGACATGTGCTTCTTGTGTGTTTTAATTGAGATATTGCTTTGAGCTTCAAATTAATTCACGATATATGTAATAATAATTGTGAAAACTATCCTTCATGATTCTTTTCAGCACAAACTCATTGGCATACGTGTTACTGTAATCAGGTGAGCTTAAATATTGAACATTCATTGCTTTGTTTAGAAACAGGGTAGGGAGAATTTTTCTTCCTATTAACGAGGTGGGGTTTATAAGTTATTATATATGAATAAACTACGTTGAGATCATGAAATCTAAGATATGTAAGTTGCAATAAAATTAGAGTATTTCCAGTAGTTTTTATATTATATATAAATAGATTTCACAAAAATATGTATAATGATTATTGTTTAGTTGTGGATTTATTTGCACGTTTAAATTTAATTTTTTTTAAAAGGATAACCCAAATGTTCACATCATTTCAATCAGATTGTATGACTATTAAAATGAAAAATTTAAAAAGTAAAAAAAAAAACAGTATTAAATACAAATTATCCAAATATAATTTACTAGATTATCCAAAGTTAATTTAGAAAATTAATATTTAGCTCTCTCATGAATTATAGGTTAATTCACTAATTTTAACGTATGCATCGCAAATTTCCAAAATTTGCACAATAATTTAGGGATACATTCACAAAAATTGCAAGTAATGTAACAAGGAGGAAAATTGCTAAGAAACTTGATCCCAGAATCCTAACCCGACTTTGGCCGAAAAAGAAAGAATCCTACCCGACCCAGTTTGCCATTTTCATTCGGGTCAAAGCGTCACCCGTCGCGCTCCCTTTGAACATGAGAGAGCAAATGTCGATGCAGGGCCAAACCAATGACACAGTGATCGAGTACGACGCAAATTAGACTCTGAAAAATGTTCCTGCGTGCGGTTGCACGGCCGTTGATGGCCAAAATGAAGGAGACGACAGGGATTGTGCGCCTGGATGTGGCGCTGAAGGCTTAGAGGTTCTGACCGGCCTGTACACTAAAACCCTGAAGGAGGTCCAGGCCGTCCCTGGGGATGAAGGCTACCGTAAGGCCGTAGAGAGCTTCACAAGGCAGAGGCTCAAAGTTTGCAAGGAAGAGGAGGATTGGGAAATGATCGAGAAGCGCCTTGGCTGTGGCCAGGTCGAGGAGCTCATCGAAGAGGCTTAGGATGAGCTCACCCTCATTGGCAAAATGATCGGTACTGAATGTTGATATATCCCTTTTCTTTGTGCTATTGGGATTGATGATAATGATCGTTGTTGATGAATGTTGGCAAGAAAATTATTTTTGGTGAGGAAGGGAAATTGTGGAAAATTTTACTCAACATGGAAAAGTCAGCTAACTTTGCTCCGTTGTTATCCGTATAATAATTATTTGGTTGGTGAGAATTCAATAACACGGGATGCACTCTTGTTCTTGCACCATGTACTAGGTATTATATGTGCCCAATAAAGCTGTGATCGAAAGACATGAATTCCAGTAATCTTATCTGGGGGAAAGACATCATCGAGTGTCAATGTGAAATAAGATGAAATATTCTTCTGAAGATTTTGCTCTATTCTTATTTATACTTCTAGTTTGAGAAGAATATGTGAAATATATAGGCGACTGATAAAAAGAAAATGGGTGCAGATCATGTTTTAGTGTACCGCCGGCATTTCTTGGTTATCTATTGGGTCAGTTGCTAATTCCCAACAATTCAACCTCACATACCAGAACTAGCAGATGGCAGTAGATGAAAATTGCAGAAAATGCAGAAGACTTGCCTGGCAATTGAAGAGCCAGCAACCTCCAGCTAAAGCTTCTTCAAAAAATCCTCTCTGACTCTTACAGTAGCTGCCTTAGTTCATTCCCTTCCCTGTTTCTCATCGCAGCCCTCTCCAAGGCTCTCACCTCTCCCAATTAATACGACCATGCAGAAACTCCTTTTAAACTCAGCCCACACCTGTGACTGTAATATGGGGCATAACGTAATCGTATGTAAAGATGAGTTACCAGACAATTTGGTGGACATCATTTATCCTACAATAATATCTTTGATAATTAAAATAAAATCATTCTGGCCATTAACGATTTTAGCTGTCTCTATTGGAATAATGTGAATCCACTTTTAGAAATAATGTAAAACATGGGATTTAATATGTGCGCGCGCGCGCGCTCATGCTTTATGTTGAATGCAGAGTGGAATCCATGGGGTGTCCCAGATGATTATGAATGTGAAGTTATTGAGAGTGATGCGCCAATTCCTAAGCATATTCCTTGCCATCGACCTCCTCCTCTCCCTGAAGAATTTTTCAAGACGCTAGAGGCTACTTCCTCTCAACCCAAAAAGGACACTCCTGCGGTCAGCTAAGGTGAATTCACCTCAAAGGCATGCCCCTATATGCTAAGCAGTTCTTGGGTCTGTCGATTAACTTGATCAAAAGGAAATCACAAGAAAATTCCTTGCCTCTTTACTTTGTTTCATAGAGTTGCGATTAGCATCCACGGCTTTGGTCCATACTCATACTCCCCCTTGTCATTGTGGACCAGATCCTGATGTCTGGGGAACTTAGTAGATTGATGATTTTTTTTTTTTTTGGGTTTGCCTTTAGTGTATCTTCATTTGCTCAGGTATGTTGCATGATTTTGTGCATGATGGTAGGGATTAGAACAGAAGATAAGTAATGGAGACAAAAAGAAAAAGGAAAAGACTTGCCAACTAATTGCCAAAAAGGGCATGAAGTAAAGGATGCTCACAGTTGTACTGGAAAAGAGTGAACGGAAAAGGGAGCAGCAAAATGAAGAACACAGTCATCCCAATTTGCGTATGTTGGGAGACAAGAAAACATCTGGATCTTTTGCTTGGTCGTGACAGGATTCCAACTTCCAACCTCATACCACGCTTTAAATTCATGATACTCACCTTTTTATTTATTTATTTGAAATCTTTTACTTTGTCAAGATAAGAAAGAGTTATTAGGTAGTTAAAATGAGAGATAATACTATACTATATGAATATAATAAGAAATTTTGATTCTGAGAAGCTTTTGGGACGGTCTATGAGAAGGGACAAATTGAAACAAATGATGTGCTATTTGATAGCTTTAGATTTGTCGATACAACATCTCTCAATATCTTTTCATTGCCATTAAGTTTTTTTCCTGTGTTGTCTTCTACCAACAACAATTTTTTTTTTGGGGGGTTAGATACCTGTAACAATTTATATATGAACTTTGCGATCAAAGGAAGGAAGGACATCAAGCTTCTTTTCCAGGACCAAACACACGTGCGCATCGATGATGCATAACTAAATTTAAGATAGGATCAGATGTCGATGATATTGTGATTAGAGAAAATCCTCAAGATATAGCTGGAAAAAAAAAAAGTTCGGGTCTTTTAAAACATAAAATTATTTATAAAAAAAAAAAAAAGATCATTCACACTGACACTTTTAATAATCTCCTTTTTTCTTAATGATTGTTCTGATTCTGGCAATTGGACTTATTAAGTAAAAATTTCCTTGGTGATTACATGGTTATTTCGGATCATAAATGACTTCAATTGTCTGGAGCCCTTCCTGGTTGTTGGAAATATTTTGAATGCTTGATCTTCTTCAGTGTCACATATAATAGATTCTTCGGAGAGATTCCTGATTCACTGGGTACCTTGAGACAAATTCGAGAATTTCATTTTGCAAACAACAAATTTGCAGGTGAAATACCATCCACTTTGAAAAACTACACTTTGCTTAAAGCATATGATATTGCCGAAAACAATTTCTCTGGATTATTTCCAAGTTGGATTGGAGATGCACTGAGACTGTTGCGTGTACTTATTCTAAGGTCCAATATGTTTGCTAGGAGCTTGCCCTTCAATATTTTCCATCTTTCTCAAGTTCAAATTCTTGATCTCTTCATGAACAACACCTCAGAAAGTGTACCCAAATGCCTCAACAATCTTTCTGCTTTGGCTAATAAAACAAACAATGATGTAGATATAAGTTATTTGGTTTTAGATAATGAACTCCGTGGTCTTAAAGGAGTAGTGACAGTGTTTGGGTTTTTAGTCAATTATTTACTCGAAGATAGCGTATCGCTGGTGTGGAAAGGTAAAGAAGCTACATATCAAACTATATTGGGACTAGTGAAGAGTATTGATCTCTCCAACAACACCTTCCCTACCGAAATTCCAAGCGAAATGATGGATCTCGTTGGATTGGATTCTTCAAACTTGTCAAGAAACAAGACTAACAGAGAAATCCCTCCAAGCACTGGACAGTTGGAGTCATTGGACTCACTTGATCTGTCAAGAAATCATTTGTTTGGAAGAATTCCATCTGAATTTGCACATATAGATCGCTTCAGTGTAATGGACTCACCATTCAGTAAACTATCTGGAGAAATCCCACACAGAACTCACCTTCAAAGCTTTGATGCGTCTGCTTATGTGGGAAATCTTGATCTCTGTGGAGCTCCCCTCCCTAGATTTCCAACTAAGCGAGCTAGAGCTGATCATGAAAATCATGGACGGGATCTTGAAGACGATGATCAATTTTTCAGCCAATTAGTGTTCTACATTAGCTTGGCAATGGGGCTTATCTCTGGATTTTGGGCAGTTTGCTGCTCATTGGTTTTGAAGAAATCATGGAGGCATGCCTAATTCAAGTTCTGGAGTGAGGCATATGAAAAATTGTACGTGATTGCAGTCATTAACACGGCTAAATTGCGCAGATGGATTGGATCGGCTCCAACGTAAAGGTAATCAACATTTGTCTTTATCTTTCTAAAATCAACTGATGTTTGCCTTTACATGTCACATATAAATTTGTTGCCCAACTGCTGACAACATGCATCTCCTGAGATTCTTGTGAAAACTTGGTTTAGAATATACTATCTTCGGCCCTAATTATAAGAGTTAATTGACTAATTTAAGAAGATTAAAGAAATAAGTTAAATTAGTTATTTGTGATAAATAATTGTTGTTTTTCCTAAAATATCCTTACTAATCAAATATATTGGCTAGAACTACCATTGTTAGAAAGACTACCTCGAAAAAATATATATAAATATGAAAAACAAAATGGATTGGGGTCTTATATTTAGAATCAAAATAAAAGTCAAATAAGGCATTATATTAAGGACCGAAGGTAGTATATTCTCCTTGAGTAAAAGCGAATGTGTTTATTTATTCATTTGTTTCATATCTTAAACTCTGTTAATTAGCTAATCATAAAGTTGAGTAACCTTTAATTTGTTATTTAAATATCGTAGTTTGTTGCAAGGAATGAAGATGATCTGCTGCCCATCGTTGCCTGATATGCTTCTTTCAACTTCATCATGAAATCAGATTAAACATATATGCCATTTCCTTTTGTCCTTTTGGCTTTACTTGGATACTATATGAGGAAAGAGAAGGTATACATGTTTTAATTTATTATAAGAAAACAATTGATAGAAGAGAGGCTTTTCCTTCAGTAATTGTAACAGTTCTATGTTGTGATTTGTTAAGACCAAGTTAGCTTCTTCTTTTTTTCTGATACAACCAAATTAACGTCCTTGTGGTAGTGATCATATTGTTTATTAGTTGGGTTCCGTCTTAGTTTCGGGTCAGACTCTTGCTTAATAGAAATCATTTACTTATTCATAAGTTGTATCGAGTCATCATTAACTCTAATTCTCAGGCCTCTCTTTAGATGTCAAAAAAATTAATTAATTAATTAAATTGTTGTCCGCCAAATTTCAAAGTAAATAATTTTCCGCAATGAATTTATAATATAAAAATTGTAATTAAGCACGCAATTCTGGATACTTCTTCTTTTCTTTTTTTTTTTTTGCGGCAAGCAATTCTGTGCAGTTGAAAGACAGTTTTTACTTTCAAAACTCTGATAATTCGAG